CTTTAAACTCGAAGCCTTAAACCCTAAACCCCAAACTATTTTAACCTCGAAGTCCTACGCCCTAAACCCCAAACCTAAAACTCGAAACCTTAAACCCCAAACCCTAAACCCCAAACCCTAAACTCGAAACCCCGAACCCCGAGACTCCCGTCAATCGCCAACCCCCCAGCAGACTCCGACGCAGCATCGCCGACAAAAAGACGAGATTGATTTTTGAGCATCTTAGTTCCCCAATACCCAACCTTTAAACATTTTGGGTGCTTATAGATTTAGTAGTAATCTGAAAGTTTAACCTTTTATTTTCCTGGCTTATTTGGGAAGTAAGGCTTGTATGCCGGATCTCTGAAAGTCGCGGGTGGGTTTCGGGGGGTGTAGGGGGTTTAGGGTTTACTACACCCTAAAAAACCCTAAACCCTAAACCCTAAACCCTAAACCCTAAACCCCTAAACCCTAAACCCTAAACCCTAAACCCCTAAACCCTAAACCCTAAATCTTTTAAGGGGTTTAGAGTTTAGGGTCGGCCCTTTGGCCGAGGATGCTTTGTAGGGTGCAGGGCTCGGGGTTCAGGACCTGGGGTAGATGCGAAGGACTATCGGCTTCTTGCGTTGACCTTTCGTTGACTATGGTTTTTCCTTGTCGTCAACCTAAACCCTAAACCCTAAACCCTAAACCCTAAACCCTAAACCCTAAACCCTAAACCCTAAACCCTAAACCCTAAACCCTAAACCGTGGCTTTGGGTTGGCTTTAGAGTTTAAGTAGGACCAAGGCTTTGGGGTTCGGGGCTTAGGGTTTAGGAGTTCAGCCTTAAGGTTTTTTTGAAGTATAAAAGTTTCCTAAAGATATGGGAATCATGGGTGGGTGGGATGATTTCCGGAGTTAAGCTCGACTAGAAACTGCCCGATCCGGAGCTGCTGAACTCGAAACCCTAAAACCCTAAACCCTATAATTGATGCTAGAATCCCTAAACCCTAATCCCTAAACCCCTAAGACCCTAAACCCTAATCCCGGAACCCTATAAACCCTACGCCCAAAGCCCTTAAGACAAAAAGCGAAAGGCCCCCTAAGTGATCCCCGAAGCCCGGAAACCCCGAAGCTCGGAGCCCTACTGTACGAGAATCTGAGGCACCAGGCTGCAACCTGAGAGCAGCGAAGGTCTGCAGCCTGAGAATTCGGCGTAGGGTATAGGGTTTAGAGTTTAGGGTTTAGGGTATAGATATTAGGGATTAGGGCTTAGGGTTTAGGGATTAGGGTTTAGGGATTAGGGTATAGGGTTTAGGGTTTAGGGTTTAGGGTGTGGGGTTTAGGGTTTAGGTAGGGTTGATTCAAGGTTTTTAAGGCTTCAGGGTTGAGGGTTTAGGGGTT